TACACTTGATAATGTTATTATCACACATTCATGCCAAGAGTTTGTTTTGCATTTTTGCCTAAAAAAAAGGCAACAAAAACGTAAAAAAAAAAGAAAATTATATTAAATAATTAGAAGAAGAAAAAACAACAAATTATTATTATGTGTTCAGTATTATGATTTATTTTTAAAAGTTACCACGTTATTCATCCTGTTTTTATTATGTTTTGTTATATTATATTTTTATGGTGGAGTTTTGATTGCTGCGCGTGTTAAGGGACATAAGAAATGGATCGTAATATATATAAATATATGAATGTAATGTATAAAAACAACAATTTTTATAAATAATATCTATCGAACCCCCTATGAATGAATACTTGTATTAGAGAATACTTTTTTATATAGAGACTTTTGTATAAACTTTTTTTTTATTACTCTTGATTATCAATAATGATAGTTTAGTCCAAAAACCAATGAAGACAAAATTGAATAACCAAAAAATGCGATGATTCTATGAGGCATATATATGCTATACACCATCTAAAGGCAATTCAAAATATATACAACTTATGTGCAATACTATTTCTTAAACAATTCAAGCGTATTATTAAATACCAAAAAAAAAAAAAAAACAAAATATATATAAATCACTAAAATGATATATATATACAGATATATATCTGTATAAATACAAGATAATTGCAATCGTATAACCAAAGTAGTTAAATATTAATAATCCCCTCCTCCCCCCAAAGATCACCCTGATGAAGCAGCTACTCCAATAATTTTTTTTTTTGTACATGCTATACATCCCGGGGCTTTCGATGTTCGTTTTTAAGATTAGTTTTCCAAAAATATACAAGGTGTGAGCTGCTGCTGCCGCTGTTCCTCCCTCCCTCCCCCTGTCAGAATCAGAATCCTAATACCCATTATATTATTAAATGGTATATCTTGACTTAAGGCAATACTTACCGCAAAAAATTATCAAAAAATGTGAATTGAGCAAATTGATTTTGTAATTTATACGAGTTAAGAATGAAATTTGCTAAAGTCGGGTGGTGCATGCAAACAAAAACAATACGATATTTTTTCTATATTACCAAAAAAGTACTAAATTAATAATTCAAATAGAGAAACCAAACAAAACCAACCAGAACATTTAAGCCCAAGAGTTGCTTTGGACTTTAACCATACACATATGTATGTATATGATATATAATTATTAAATGATAGTCAAATCTATTAGCAAATTTTTGCTCGCGCTTTCTTTACAAGAAAACATAAACAAATAAATAAATATATAAATTCAAGTCATGCAAAGTTGTAACTCAAGTTGAATCGCGTGGCACTTTCGAAGACAAAAAAAAAGTTTATAGCAATTTTTCTAGAATTTTTATATTATGACAAACTAAAACAAAAACCATATGTATCATATATATACTGCATATATATATATATATATTTTTTTTAAACTGCAAAACATGAAAATGATTAGACTACTTGATGTGTTTCTTTGTTTTCTTATTTATTTATTTAATTATTGATTTTGTTTTGAAACATAGAAACACCTTGTAAACTTAAATATTAAAGTGTATTAAAAGCGAAAAGAATCTACATACACAAAGAAGCCCAATTAAATATCAAATACCAGCAGCCTGCTCTATGTAGTGTTAATACAATTTGTGCAAATATTTAAACAAAACGCGTTGTTCTAAAACTTTCAAAGTAATGAAATGCTAGTCTTTAAAAAGGCAAAATCTGTTACAAAGCAAAAACGTATCGGTCGGTCGAGCGTATCGGTTAATCGATGGCTATCGATATCGATAGCTGTGCGTAAGGATGATGTTTTTTAATTGTAGTAAAAATTTAATATTTTATAGATTTTTATACTTTTATATAAAACATATACTTTATACTTTAACTGTTTAACGAAAAACTTAACAAAAATGTTGAAAAAAAAAAAAATAAACTTTAAATGTGCTATTAAAGAGGTAACTTATCAAAAAAAAAAAAAAAACAAATATTTTACTATACCAAAAAAAATAAGAAACTTAAAAAAAAAAGTTGATAGGAAAAATGAAATCTTAACAGCAAACTGCTCAATGTTTTTGCTGATTGATGATAATGCCGTAGAAATCTGGAATCTTTTGTAGCGTGCTATAATACATATTATATCATAAGCAATCCGTTTTTGTTTTTTATTTTTATATTCGGATTTGTTTTTGTTCCCTTAAGTATTCCAAACACAAAAACTAAAAAAAATATGAAACAATTGTGCAAAGACATTTAATTTAATTTATTATATGAATATCCCTTTGAAGGGATGGATCGACAATTTTAGTTCGATAGCGAATCTTGTTAAAGATGAAAATGTTTATGTTGACTTTTATACGAACCCTAGTGTTACACCAATTATGAAAATGATATAAAAAATTTGTATGCCCAATTCTTATATTATATGATATATTTTTGTATGTTTTGTAGTTGCTAGTAGTTTCCTAGTAGTTTTTAAAAAACCAACTGCGTTGAGACATTTTTATACTTTGTTTATTCTTTTTTATACATATACATATTCTTAATAAAAAAATATGATAAACAAAAATAACTATTTGATATATACACTTTATAAAAAAAAACAAAACAAAAAAGGAAAAAATAGGAAAAGCAACAAAAAAAAAGTTTTTTGAAATTAATAAATGGACATAACGTAAATTGTGTTTTATTTATTTTTATATATATATCTTGTATGTACTTTTTATAACATTGTAAATAAAAATACTTTTAACTTAGCTGAGCCCCTGAATTATAGAAATGAGAGAAATTTCAAACCAAAATGAAACTGTTAGAACATATTATTAAAAAAAACAAAGTACTTTAACGATACGAAAGACTCTGAAAAGGAAAAGTATTGAAATTCGAACTTATTAAAACTTAAATATGTTTACTGAACATCTAAACAACAAATTGGTCAATATGTGTTTTTTATACCAAACGGAAAACAAAAAAAACTTATATAAATAATTATATGAAATTTACACGTAGTACAATTCAAGAAAATAAGCAAGTGCATATTTTTTGACAAAAACAACCCCCCCTTCTCCCATGGAAAATGCTTCAAACATTTGAAATAAATAGTATAGAAAATATAAACCTTGCATTGTGTAGTGCATTATGTATGTATGGTTTTGCTAGTGAAAATTCCTCAAAACATTGAATTGGCAAACTGATATGGAAATACTCTTTGTTTCGGGTTGGAATTAAAAATGAGTGGGATAAATTCGAATATTTTTTGAGTATTTTCATAGCACAATTTTTGTACAGTGTATGGTTTTTGTAGTTAGCGAACTAAAATGAATGTAAACCAAACCGCGTTTTAAATAGAAAATTTTTAAGTCTCAATCCCTGAGCTCTCCGACAAACGAAGTGGAATTCTATTTAAATTTTTACGCTAATTGGATCGAAGCTTGAAAAAACAACCACAAGGTTATAAATGAATATTAAAAACAACATTCGGTACCTTTTAATCATAATTAATGAATTTTATAAAATGAGAAACAAAAAAACATCAAATTGATACTGAGAAATTGTAGCCTGTAAGCGAGTGTTACGCACACGCACTTCCATTTTAATTTGTTTTTTTGCCAAGTGGGCTAAAAAAAAAAAGAAAAATAAAATAAAAACGTATATAGTGTCCTGTAACGTCTATAAATATGTGTATATATAATGTTTAGTACTTTAAATAAAACTGAAATTGAGCGCCCTTACTAATGAATTCCTTTTAGCAAAATATTCAGACAGAAAACCAACAAAAGGCATATAATTTTTTAGCATTATACAAGTGAAAATAAAAAAAATAGTAAGCCGAAAAACAAGTTGGCAGATATAATAAAAAAAAACCTATATAGTGAATCCAATATATATGAAACTTAATCTGTATGAAGCGTATGAAATCAAGAACCTAGCGAAATATTCCATATTTTATAGTAATTTTCAATAAACGTAATTTTTTAATTTTTACAAAATTAAAGTTGACAAGAAAACTGAAATCAATAAAAAAACCCCTAAAAACTTTGTAGTTTCTTAAAAAAAGGATATCCAAAAGGATAAAAACACTGATTAACAAAAATTTCTTGTAAACAGTTTCGATTTTCAATTCCCGATGTTGAAATGATGCGTTTTTCAATTAAAATTACCAGAAAAAGAAATGTTAAAAAAAGAACATGTTACAAAAACAACAAAAAAAAGTATATAAAACTAACAACAAAAAAAAGACCATAGATAAAACATATGTACTAAAATAAAGTAAAAATAGAAATGAGAATCAATGCGAAAATACCAAACTAAAGGATATTAGAAATATATGAAAACAAATTCTCCCAATACACGAAAAGAAAATCTTAAAAGAATTGAAACTGTAATAGCAAACCAAAATATCAGCAGTACTTCAATGAAATATTTCCAAAAAAAATTAAGAACTCTACAGAAAAACCAGCAAATCAAATATAAAATAAAGTAATGCAAGTATGTAAGCCTGTATCAAGGGAAATATACATATAGGATTATATATACACAAAATATATTCAAAACCAAAAAAAAACAATGTTGTTTTCTAACGCGCCCCAAAGCATCTCTCTAAAAACTAAATTCAACAATTGGCATTTTTGAAAACAAAACAAAAAAAGGAAATAAAAAATAAAACACTTAACAAAAAAATGCAGGTTATGGAACAAACAAGTAAAACGTAAATGGCAAAGAAAACATATATCTTCATTCAAATAAATAAAAAATACTTTTTCTGGAATAACATAAAACGTGATTTTTATTCATCCTGGGATGTCCTTTCCTTAGTTTAGCTTACTTTTGATTTTGTAGCATACTTTTTGGGGCATGATATTATATTCATATATGGTAACTTTTTAATGGCAAGAAAGTCTCAGAAAAATGGACGGATGGAAAGTAGCAAGCAATTCTAAACATTACAAAATACAAAAAATTCAAAAAAATACTCCAAATTGCAGATCTAGCAGCATCGAGGGAGTTTCCCCAACCTCCAGTGGATCCAGTCTTATATCGACACTTTCAACGGCCAGCACAGCGATTGGAGGCAGCGTGGGAGGCGGTAGCGCTGGCGTGGGCGTCGGCGGTGGGGGCGGGCCAGGCTCCGCTGGGGACGGAAGCACTAGCGGCGGTACCTGGAAGCTAATCAAGGGTAAGGTGACGCAAACACTTGAGGAGATCAAGTCCTCGAAGCATCCGCAACCAGCGATTCCCATTATTGTGGCAGATCCGCCATCCATCGGGTGGAGCAACGATCCAGATTCGGATACCGAGTGCATTACAGTGAACACATCTATCAGTGAGGAGCTGCCCCTGGACCAGGAGGCCAAGCAGAACTCCGACTCGGACGCGGAGGCCGAGGTGCTCCAGCACGATAGCACCAGTTTGGGCAGTGCCGAGATCGCTCTTCCCCCTACAGGCCATTCGGAACGGTCTCGTCTGCGTCGAGGACTGGCCCACATTCGGTCAAAGGTGAAGGCCAAACACCAAGCAGCCGCCATGACCAAGAAGGACATTAGTCCCAGTGGGGCGGGAGCTCTTCCAGTTGCCCCCCCAGCGACCTCGACAGCCAGTACGGCTTCCATACGTAGCGGCTTCCTTAGGCGGCGAAATGTTGTGGATGCGAGTGCGGAACCTTCCACCAGCCATCAGGCAGAGATTCCCATTGCCAGTGGAAAGACCAAGAAGCGAGGTATTCTCCTGGCCCGCAAGGATGTGGAAATCGAATCCGGGGTGGAAGTTCTCGAGGACATGGTGCCGCAGAAGGTAGGCGAAGCCGAGCCATCCAAGGAGACAGAGGGAAAGTCCAAAAATTCCCCAGATGAGCCGGATGCCGAAGGAGGCCGTACTCCAAAGGTTAATCTGGCCGCAGACCAGGACCTGGACACTCTCTCCATGTCCGAAACGTCTCCCAAGAATTCGCGGAGCAAGCACAGCTTCCTGTCGAGTGTGAGCATGGCCAGCGTGTTCCGATGGCGGGAGAAGCACCAAGGCGCCACAGCCTTCGCCATGCCGGTCATTTTATCCACCGTCCTGGGCATCCTTGTGATCATGCCAGTGCACGACTTTCTGCGGGGCATCTTCGCCACGCTGCTATTCTTCACCATAATGGACGCCTGTGGCCATCGATTGAGGGCGTTTCTAGAAGATTTGATCCTGAGCTCGCACCCGGAGAGAGGGACCTTTTCCATACCCAATTACCAGGATATGCCTATTTGCGAGATTCCGGCCGTGGAGGAGCACAAGACCATCAAGACCTATTCTGGTTGGATGAACGAACTAAACAGCTACGATCCGGCTACCTTCTCTTTCACCCTGACGAGAGCCGTCTATGTGCGTCTGGATGGGAGTATTCTGAAGATGTCGGGCACGAATGCCAGGATCCCCAAGCGACGCATGTGGAACGAGCCGGTCATCGATCGGCATAAGGTCCTCTTTACGGATCACAGATCCTATGATCTCCGAGACTGTCGCATCGAGCTCTTGCCTTTGGGTTTGGCCCGAAAGCGGTGGGTATAACTATAGATTCTATTGTTTCTAACAGGATTCCATGATATCCTTTATTTTAGCTTTTTCAACCGAAAGTATCCCATCCAGCTGATCATCAAGAACAACAGGGACTTGGAGGATCAGAAATCCTCAGATAGTCTCAGCGATAATACCATCCAGTCGTATGAGGAGAGAAAATCTGGGAGCCTAACTGCGTCCACGCCACCAGGACCCGAGGACCAGCGAGACGAGAAGCAAGCTGACTTTGGCGCCACCATAATGCAGGCAAATGTAAGATCCTTCCGAGTCCTGTCCAATTACATTCACCTATGGCTTTATTTACAAAAAAAAAGTTACAGGATCTTCGTAATTCCGTGAATCCGGACAAGGAGCTGAACGACATCACCATGCCCTGTGGCGATGAGGTGCGTCTGTTGCTCTTCTCCCGCTGCGACAGGGAGAAGGAAGACTGGTATCGTCGCTTCCTGGCTGCCAGCAAGGGACAGGTCCACGAACGAGATCTAAAAGTGCCAATGGCTAGGTTCGTGGAGGACACGGATCTGCAAGCGGCTGCCGCCAGACAGGCCCTGCAACTGGTCAGCGGAATGGGTGCAACGGGAGCCGTTAAGGTAACTCTGATTTTGATATTATCGAATTGAAATCCTAAGCATCCTGTAGTTCCAGAACAAAGGCAAAGATAAAGAACCGGAGGAGCAGAACGAGGAGGTGGCATCCACGAGTCCCACGACCATCGACGAATCGGAACAAACGCCTGACCAGTTTGAAAACATCACCGAGGAAGATTTGCTGGAAACTCCCAAAGAGGAGGAGTTCGAGGGAATGATAATGAGTGCCAATGTGGCCAGGAATCAGCCGGACTATGTGCGGTTCATGGCCATCTACCAGGTATGCCCGGGACTTCAAACCATTATCAGGAATCAGTTTCGTTTTTTATTATTTTTATTATTTATTTATTTCTTGATCATTTCCATATATGATTTTGGTAGCAATCTTGTAATCGGACCTCCATTCCCGTCACGCGAAGTTCGGTGGGAACTATGCGATCCTCTGAACAACGCCAAAGAAAAGTATGTTTTTTTTATGTTTTTAATATCCAATATTATTCAGTTCCAATCTAAATATATAGTTTAGGCTTATAGAACTTGAAATAATTCGAAATATATTTACAGTCACGCCGTTCTAAACGCCAGGAGGATGAACTCTGGAAGGGCATAGATCAATCTCTATTTCTGGGTCCCTCTGGCAGCATTGTCTGGGCCAATGTCCTCTTGGGTCGTTGTCTTTATAGCGTCCTGCACGATGCCGACTTGCACGAGAAGATCAAAGAAGTCCTGCAGAAGAAACTAAACTCCATCAAGCTGCCCAGCTTCATGGAAGAGGTGATCATCACCAATATATATCTCGGCAAGTCCCCAGTGCTGTGCCATCGCGTCTCCCAGCCCATGTTGGACGAGCGTGGCGTTTGGGTGGATGCGGACATCACCTACGAAGGACTCTCCCACATCACAGTGACCACAAAGTTGAATCTGCTACGGATTCGCGGGAAATCCAAGTCTCCTTTAGTTTCGGAAGCATCTGGCACCTCGGGAGCAGCCGAGAACCAGAGTCCGGATACGCGCAGTAGTACGGATGGGACCAGTGAGAATGTTATCTATGACAGTGATGCTGAAAGCTCGGGTGATTCCTCCACCGATTCCGAGAGCCCACCGCCGGGAAATGCCCAGGAGAATCCGCCGGGAACAGAGTGAGTTTCCGGGAAATGACTTATGTTTTCAAAACGCAGACCAACCTCCTTGTGTTTCAGATTCTTCCAGAACTCACCGGGTAATGCTCGACGCATTTTCAAGATCGTCGACCGCATTGCTGCCTCTAACCTATTCCAGTATGCCACCGAACTTCCTTATGTGCAGCGTGCCATGGAGAACATGAATGCCAACATAACGCTGCGAGTGGATCTCAAGGGTATGGTGGCTAGGGGCACAATCAACATGCCACCGCCGCCCTCCGATCGGCTGTGGGTCAGTTTCCGGGGACCGCCGCGCCTCTGGATCTCCACCAAGCCCCAAGTGGGCGATAAATCCGTCGACTGGTCGATCGTGACCAATGTTATCGAGAGCAAGCTATGCGAGGCTGTCAACAAGTTTCTGGTCTATCCCAATATGGTGGACTTTTCTATACCATTCCTTAGCCATCCCAATTTCGATAATGATCCGACCGGTGCGCCCAATTGAATCCATTTTGGATAAGGTTGAGGTTGAGGAAATATTTATAAAGATTCGATGAATTTAACACAAAGTGTGAGCGAGATTTTCTACGTTAACTTTTTCTTAGTGTTGATATAATCTAGAAGCCTAGCTTAGATCTGCGATCTCTGGTTCCGACTGCAAAAGCCTATATCTGGAACCGATTCCAAATGACAAGTTACAAAAAAAAAAATAATAATAATGAAACGCTTATTTTGATCACATTCTGTTCGTTGCCGCTGATGCAATCCATCACGAACCCAATATCTAGATACTTTAGGTAATATCCCCCCTCGGCTCTTATGGCTGCTACAATAATTTACAAAAATTTCTAAAAAAAAAAGTTAAGGGATATCAAGGATATTCAATATGCTGCAACAGCCGCTCTGTGAGGTCATCACGACAATAGCATACCTATAATAGCCACTCTATATATACTATATCTATATGAGCCACTCCACATATATACACTCCTATATATTTATATATACATATATTCCAAGTAGCTTAGTAATAGTACATACATATATATGCGTGTGAATTTTAAACCGGGAAAAATCGAATTTTATTTTGCGGTGTGTGGTATATCACTATTTTATATCAATATTCAGATCTTCAACCAAAAATGCGTCAGTACTTAAAGCGTTTCAACTATTTTAGTAAGAGTACTAGCAAGTACTACATAAGATGATCAAGGATGCCAAATGTGAACAAATACTATTCCCTTGGGTTCCAATTTTTGCAACTAAAAAGACAACCATTAAGATATATCATTTACAAGGTTGTTTTCCAGGCTATTCTATAAGTAAATCATTTTATCAACATCTATATAATATATATAAAAAAAAAACAAAAAATATTTCAATGTTTTTCATAAATAAATGGAAGCTATTTGCTGGCAATACTATATGGTTTCTTCTAAGTGGGGTTTTTGGCCAAAATTTAGTGAGCTTTAAGCTTTCCTTAACATTGAGTTAACAGAGGGCCAAGCCAGGAGTGTTATTCTGCTGTAAAAAGATGCATGCTATAAAACTCGCCCCATATTTTGATTTAATTTTTCTTTATTTAAATTACTTTTTCATTCACGTTCAGAAATGTACATTTTTAAATTGGATTTTGCATTGCGTTCGTTTTGGGGGGAAAATTGAATGAGTTTTGCTTTCGATTTTGTGTGTTTTCATTGCGCAGTTGTTTTTGTTTTTTTTTCCCAAAAAGTACATTAGATAAACTACAGACATATGTGTGTATGTACGTGTATATAATATGCATTAATAATAGTTATATATGTATATATAGAATTCAAAAATGTACAACATTCATTTTTAACAAAAGGACCCAGGACATGTCCCGGGCATATGTAGTTAAAAACTCGAAGATAGCCATAGCAAAAACAACTAAAGTTACAACTTAAGATTAGAGACTTATCAACTAATACACATACTAGTACAATGTCAATGTCAATGTCATTTCATTTTTTTAACTTTTCTCATTTGTTTTTTTTTCTCAATTAATATTTTTTTTTTGTATATATGTATGTTTAATTATTTAATATTATTGCGTTTAATGCGCTTCTTGCGGCATAAAAACTTATGCCTCGTTAAAAGTTATATTTCAAAATTGATTTCATGGTTCGTTCGATTTCAAAATTGATCTTATATATCTGTGTGTGTGATGTTTTTGAGTGGTTCAGATGTTATATATGTTATATTTTTTTTCGAATGCGTTGCAGCATGTGTTGTTGCATAACAAAAAATTTTTTGTAAAAAGACTAAGAAAAAATAGTTACAATATGGTTACGATGCATACTGCACTTTTCTACTTAACAACTAAAAACTGCTATCAAAACAGATTTACAAATAAATATATACTTCAAGTAAGCTTTCCATCGTAAAACCTCACTAGTCCCGATCTCTGGTTACTTTCTTGACTTCCATTAGGGCTTCTGTTTTTTTATGGTTTTTCTGGCAAAAAACATTGAGCAACATTTCGTTTAAGATATTCGTGAATAGAGTAATCGGTAAGTCGGTAAATGGATTATGCTGGCTATGATCTTAGCTTATCGTTAAAGGAGAGCTGTTTCATTAATTTTTTTCCTTTTTTGAAAATTGTGTAAGTTTGTGTAAGACCCGGTCCATGCGGCAAATGCAGATTATTCCTCTTGAGCACGTCGCGGTGTTCGGTAGGGTGTTGTATCTTGTAAATCGGTATATATATGCGGTATCTTCGGTATCTTCTGGGGAATTTCTAGGAGGGATCATCGCTCTTCACTGTCCTGCTGTTTTGGCTCGTTCCTACTACTTCCTACTACTTCTCACAACACTGGCGCACTGATTTACAGACGCATATCGTTGTATTTGGCAAAGGCCTTGCACAGGGCAAAGGCCAGGATGATCAGGACCAGGTGGACAATGCCCACCACAATGACACCGATGATCAGTTCACGCTGTCCAATCAGCCACTCGGTGAAGACCTCATAGCAGCCCTGTTTAAATATTTTATTAATAAAGGACTAAAGTCTATACACCTCTCCACCGTACCTTCTTGTAGAAACTGTTGCTATCGCTGGGATTGGTGGTGCAGTCCTCATCACGTGGCACCAACTTAGCCACGTCCTTGAGGATGCAGCAGGCCTCCGGTATGGTGCGGTTGCCCTTTCCATTCACCCACGCCGACGAGGCCTCAAAGTCGCGATAGTCGGAGATTCCGCAGCAGCCAAAGTTGCCCATCAACTGGTTCCACATCAGCGAAGTGGCATCCACATTCTCGCCCAGGGAGTAGCTGGTGATGGTCGTCTGCAGGAAGGTCTTGCTCTCGGCCCGAACTCTGTCCTTATAGAAGGCAGCCAAGCCACCAGCCGTAATCTCAGCAATCAGTAGGAGTATCAAAAAGGTTCCATACTAAAAAGGGGGTAATTTTAAGATTATTATTTTAAGATATAAGGGATATTTGTATCTACTACAATAATATAGATATATCTATGTATCTAATCTTCCTTATAATTTGTATATTTCCATTATTTAAATATATACCAATTTTCCCTCAAGGCCTCGTTGCTTTTAATATTAATTTAGTCTCGTTGGCCACTTTATTTAGAATGCTCTAGCCCGCGGTTGACCCAATTTGGGCGGTTGGTGGCCCTTTATGAGCCGTGCAGAAAAATCTAGCCATTTGACCCTGAGCTAAATGCTCAGCATTTGTCGGCCTGCCCCGCTGGTGGTGAGTCTTGGCCCACACATAGCATAGTTGCATAAGTTCATGGATAGATACAGATACAGATATAGAATATATGGAAGGGGGGGTGGCTGGTTGGGCGGCGGTCGCAGCATACAACAGCAGAGGCAGAAACACAAATGCTGAAGGTCACTTCTCAATGTTTTGTTGCATGTTTCGAAAAAGCTCTCTTGCGGCTTTTCGTTCTACTCTTCTGGCTAATGTCGCTGATGCGTTGGCCAGATATGCTCGCTTTTAGCCAAGCTTATTGTTGTTATTGTTGTTGTTGTGGCTGTTACGCCTCACAGCATTTCGTTTTGTGGCAGAGCGTGGGCGTTGGTAGCTGCTTCTGCTTCGGCTTGTAAATGTATCTGTCAGATACACAAGCCAGCTCAGTGAATTGCGGCCTATGGAGAGTAGCATTTTAGACGAGAAATGAAATGGATTTTTAATAGGATATTACAGAGACAAAAACGGGTACGTAGACATAATCACTTAATATTCCCAACAAAGTCTAAGCAATTTATTTAGTGGATTATTTGGAGCACTTTGAAATCATTTAGGGCCTCGAATTTAGCCAGAAAAAAAATCCAATGCTGAAGCATGTTAGCCATGCCAAGAGCTAAGTCGGCCTTGGGATGCGTTATTCAAACGGCCTTGGCTAATTTAAGTGCAAATTGTGCTCAAGGGGGTCGCATGCAGGTCGCGTGTTCGGCACCGCTGCGCATGCGCAAAAATAGAAATATTTTCAGCCAGTCCCTCGATGCCAATTGCTGTGCTCAGGTAAATTAAATTCACCTGTTTTGTTGCTGCAATTAAGCCCGACCGGGCCAAGCCCACTGAAATGTGGGCGCGACTGCAGTGTCCAGGGCAAGTACTGCAGCTTTATGCGATAAGACTGTTTGTTAATTACAACAATCGCCCGAGTGACTACATTCTCCGGCAATAGAAAGTCCCTCTTGGCCCTCGTATGTAAATTATCATCTAGACCGAAAGAAATTACAATTCCACTCACAAATCAGTCGTCAGACGGTGAGTGAAGGGCTTGTCATTGCGCCTTGTATCGATACCATCGTACAATTATCAGAGGGTTGAGCCATTCGTTAAACAAGCCTGGCCTCACGATATTGATGTATCTACATTTATGTACCTATATATCAGTGGATAGTCCATAGGAATGCCCAGCTATGTACAAAACTTTCTCTACGGGTGCCTTCATGGTTTTTCCAGCCAAAATTCAAAGTCAAATGGAAATCCTCTTCAGTTGAACAAAAAAAAAAAAGTTTACCCAAAGAGTTTCTGTGAAATATGTATGCAAACACACGTTGCTGGCAATCCCCAAACCCAGGCCTGGGTGCATCTTCAATTCGATGATGCAAGTTCGTAAAAACTCTGATTGGATCTCATTGATTGCCCGGCGAAATAAATTTTATTGAACTAGGAATATAACTTAATGAAAGTTAAAGGCTATTAACTTACTGGTTATTGACTATTAAATTAAGAGGCCTTTTAAAATTAATATTATAGCTACTATGGTTATGTAGTCTTAGTCTTTAATATTCGATTTGTTCACTTACCGTAGAAAGCAGACAGCGAGATTCCCGCATCGCCCCCAGATATCCCAAGAAGCTCATGAAGAACATGACAGCTCCGATGACGAGCAGAACGTAGGCCAGTTGCTCTATGACCTGAGGCTGTGTAAATTGCTGAAAGAAAATACATATGTACAAATAAAAATTACATAAATGGCCAACTATGTGAGAGTAATTGCAGATGATGGCCCCACACTGCGTATACGTAATTAAACTTTGAACTGACCAAAAATAAATTTGTGACTTCCTATTTAAGTAATTCAATTATGTTTCTTTTATATTTTACCCAATTGGCGTAGGCAAATTTTTAAGTTCAAGGGGATAAGTGGTATATGCTAGTAGTATATGTCATGTGGGAAGTTCATTGACCAAAACTCGACAATTGTTTCCGGGAGAGTTGCTGCTAAAGTTTCTCAATTAGTTGCTGCATGTTTATCCTAGGTGACCCTGCAATTAGTCGCCGTGTGTGGAAGGACATGCACTTTCCATGTGTATTTTGCCAAAGCATCAGATAGATAGAGATAGTGGTCCCTTTCCGTTCCGCCACAACTTTAGTTAACACTGAACATGCAACTTTTGATGGAATTTGTCATAGTTCTGGTTTAGTTGGGTGAATTGGCTTGGAAAACTTTATTTGAGGGGGGAGAAAGTCCCAGGAGTGGTTGTTCAACTTCAAGCTAAAATTTGTTCATTTTTTTTGCCAAAGTTTTCGCTTCATTAATAAAGTTCCACTTGTATTGGATATTTCCTCGCCAAAGAAGAGGTTCTCAATCAAGTTCTAATAAGCTAGATTTTTAATCAGATTATTATGTTGATTTCTTTTACTATTTGCTCTTAATATTGTTGTGGTTTTTTTGGGGGTTGTACTGAAAGCCAATTATTATTACATTTGAAAAACCTTCCCCTATTGTGGGTCAGTTTGTCATCACAATGCATCGTGCACTTTGATTAGTTCCTCCCTCATGGTCCTCCCTCTAGACCAACTTGTTTATTCTATAATTATACAGTTTTTTTTTAGCAATCATATACCACTAACTACTGACATTTACTAGAGCACCTGCACGTGAGCTTGATCTATATATTTTCGGGGTTGATTTATATTTTTTCAAGTCAGGCAATATAGTAGTACGATGTGGATGAATTACACACTTCGATGGGTTGCGTATGAAATGTGCGTTATAATTGAGTGGATTGCAGTGGGCCTTCACTGAGGGTGTTTCTCAAGTAACACTTTCTCCCGGACAGCCACAGCCACAGCTACAGTCTTACCTCGATGCGTTCGCTTTCGACCAGCTTGAGGAGAGCAATCAGCGAGTGCTTGTCGACGGCCAGCCATAGTCCGACTCCGAATATAATTGTGCCTAGCACCTGCAAAAAGACAACAGAGGTGTGTAAATGTGTATCCGAAAGGTAGAAGCGGGGATTATAGATACAAAAAAAAAAAAATAGAAAGAAACATAAAACACAAGACCGAATCCATCGACCCCCCTCACCGGCAACATGCAAACGCAGTTGATGATTGTTATTATTATGATGTTGCCTGCTCGTGTTGATTGCATTCAAAAATGCTCATGATGATGATGACAATGATGATTATGATGTTGGTGATGGAATCATGATGATGAGGTTGTGGCAAAGTCAATGAACCGCTGCCACCAAGTTGAAAATGCGGGAAAAAGCACCAGCGCTTGCGCAGAGATTTGCTTGATTGAGTTGCATGGCATTTGATGTTTATGGCAAACAGGGGGTATGGAATTTCATTTTTTTTTAAATAAATTTTGATTGGTGGGACGCACCTAACGCAATTTGCTTTTTTTTAACCTCAACTTAACGCTCGAGATACTTACAAAAAATATAAAATTAAATATGCAAAGCAAATACTTTGCACACCAGACTCCGCAGTCGAACACCATTTTCGTTGTTTTCGAAATTTTGGGGCTGTTTGTCCTCCTGGACGGGGAGCTCTCAACTGCTGCAATTTAAAGAGAAAGAGAAATTCCATAGTTATTTTCTAATTCAATTAAAAAACATATTTTTACTTAATTTGGTTAATTTCTGGTCGAGTGCTTAACACACTCACACACCCTCGAAAAGAAAGTGTCACAAAATAATAAAAAATACCAAGAAAAGAAAATAAACAAGAAATGTGTATTTCAAGCCAAGTTGCATTCGTTATCGGCCATGTTAGCACGTGCCTCGTGCCTAACAAATTAACATGTGAAGCGGCCGTTAAAAAATTAACCAACTTCAACGGAAGTTCAGGGAAAAGATTAAAAAAGATTCTACGAATATAAAGATACTCTTTAATATTTTCAATCTATTAGCTAGATAATTACTAAATTATTTCAACAACTTGTTCAACTAGTCGTATACGCGATAGAAATCTAAGCACGTTGCTATCTTCTCTCGTCATCCAGATACAAGATACTTTAATTCCTAGAGCAGCTCGAAAAATTGCCCGAGTAAATTACAAGCTTTCGTTCATTCATTAATTCATCGAGTCGGCGGGAATCTCAATCCCAATCTCCAGCATCTCTCGTTCCAAGTAAACTTTCTCATTAGCAGCATCCCGTATACCCCGCCATTCCAAGTACTTTTCTTTTCAGATTCTTCTGGCAGCTGGTTTCACAGATGTTGTTGTTGTTGTTGCTGTGGCAAGTTCTGAGAATCAAACGTATATAACATAGTATATACCATACCATACCATATATATATATGTGTATAGCCCGTACACACAAACAATGTCACGAGCTATTGAAGTTTGAAAAGTAGAGCACTCGGCACAGCGAAGCTAAGCCCTCAGCTCTGCTAGCATTGCGTGGTACACTTTAAGAAATGGTACTATATTTTTAATTGATTTTTTTTTTAGGAATAAAGGTTATAAAAAACTTCTACCAAAAAGCCACTTAAACTATACATTTTTATAAAATATGAAAACCTTTCTTTTGGAATTTAGAACACCTTGTTTTTCGAGCCATGTTATATACAATTTTTACCCAGTTTTTGATGCTGTTGCCAAGTCGCGGCGACTGGCAAACATTTTCCTTGCCAACATTTTTGTTCTCATTCTTTTTTTTTCTGGTCCCTTTGAGCCCGGTAGAGCCTTCCTCCTCCTCGCCCCCATGCCTTACCCCTAATGATGTTTTGGCAGAAATGTAATTGTGGACGCATATATATGTATATAAGAGATGAGTGCACGAGGTACTTGAATGCAAAATGCTCCAAGGGGCTCAAGCCCAGCTTCTGTGGGCGCCACACTTGCCGCATTTCCTTCCCCTCCCACCAGCACTCCCCCCATTCCTGGTTTCAGACAAAAATATCAACAAAAAGTTTATCAACAAATTTTTAATTGCTTTTCCATTGTTTTTCCAGACATTTGACGTTCTAGCTTGAAATTAGTTTAAACATTTTCTGATGATAACACGTGCTAATGGCAGCTTAACGGATACTGCATAATGGTTATGACATTGAATCGCTAATATGGAATTCTTCAAATTCAAGGTGTTGTTTGGGAATATATTACGTATACGTCGGACTAACTCATTTGTCTTTGCCAGGTATTAAGTCGCAGATAAAGTACTAAAAAAAAGTATTCCCCCATTTGCATGTCAATTTGCATTTTATCTCAACAACTGGCAGAACAAGACCGGTTGGAATTGAGAAAGTAAATATACCTATATAAAAATCGACAATAACAATAACAATGCAAATGTTTGTCCTCACAAATATTGACCAAATCTCACTTAAAAATTTTATTTTTTTTGGTAAATATTTACCCAATCATTTGCTCTGACTTTCGTGTGTATTTCTCAGATAGAAGACCTTTATTTCAACTTTTACCTTTATCTATTCATTAAGACTGCATTTTAGCTCAAAGCTTTAATTACTACCTGGCTCACCTGAGAGGAAAAGCTTCACGCAGCAGCCACCCACTAAGCAGTAGCCCAGGTTTCAGGTTTCTGATTCTGTTTCAGAGCCCATACAAAATTCAAAAGCTTCCCATTAGCACACAGACATGTTAACCGGAATATGGAGTATATCTATACGTATATGGGTGGATTATACACCCACATGTGTTTGAGATAAATCTTGTAATTAACTTTCGAGTGGCTTATGGAAAATATTGGCAAAAATTCTGCAAGGCATCGGTAGCAGCAGCAGCATCAGCATTTTATCTTAAAACCAATATTAAGTCTGGGATATTGACTTTCCTTAACTTGGGTTTAGAGCATCTTTTTTTCTTGAATATAAAACTTGTATAATCTTTTCTTTAGGGATATAATAAATACCCTTTTTAGAGCTCAGTTTAAAGCAAGTTTCATGTATTTTTTTCAACTCAAATTTTTAACATCATCTCTATAAAACCTTGTAATTAAATATGCAGCATCCAATAAAGAAAAAAATAAAAAGAGTAGAAAACCAGCGAATAATAAATTACAAATTTATGGTCTCGCTGCTGACTTGCATTCGGATTTTGATTTGGCTTTTGTTTATAGTATTATTTGCGTAATTAAATGCTTGCACATGCTCGAACAACATTTTTGTCGAACAACACCATAGAAAGTTTGTGTTTTACCGGCTGCTGTGACTGTGGAAGTGCTTCCCCCTCTTTGAAAACAATGCATATTTTTTTTTTTTTTTTTTTTATTTATTTCGGCGGCAGTGATTAAAGCATTTTCTATTGCAGAAAGGAAATTCGAGCGGAGACTGGAAGTGATTTTCTTGTGGGTACCACCAGCCAGCCAGCCAGCATCTTTTTTCCCTAGCTTCCAGTCAAAATGGGTTAAAGAAAGTCGTAACTTTTATTAATTAAAAAGAAAACCTTACAAAAAAAGAGCGATGCTGAGGGAAAAACAAGAGTTGAAAGGTGGCATAAAATGAAAAGCCTGTCAATGCCTCAAGGCCCATAAATTTTTGTCATTCGAACGGAAGTGTTTTTCCAGTTTTTCATTTCCCAATAGCAAGTGCCATTTTCAGGGACAGTTGTTATGGGAAATGCACAAAAAAATATGTACCACTTACCGAAAAATATTACAAGAATTCAACATATGTATATTCGAGTGACCTCGAGTGTTCATGTGTGTTCACACTTGTCACGTTCGCTGGCTTGCCAAGAATTTAGAAATTTTATTTATTGGCATTGGCTTTCTAGAGTTGCCTCTGCCCCTTTCCCCAAACCATTTTTCCATCTCTTCGATTCTGATTTGATTTGCTGTCTGGCTCTGGAGGGGCTTGGATGAAAAATAGTAATAGCCACTGAACGAGCAATCACTGAACAAGATGAGGAAAAAAAAACCCCATCACGCTTCGAAACCAAAAGTGCCGCAGAACCGCAGAGCAGAGCCACTTTCCAGCTGTCAAAGCGTGAGAATTTCCTCAGTTCTCCACGGGTCTTGATTCCCATACTTAGCACCAAACTCCGCCACGCCCGCTCCCTTTCTCCACCGGAATGGGTAATTAAATTATAGAGTAATAAGCCTCAATTGGGTCACCTGGCCCACCAAACAGTACTTAAATGCAGGTGGGTGGCCCATGAACTCCCCTCTCGGAGGTTTGCATATGAGAGCCGCATTAGAAGGCTTTTATGGCCAAGATTTCTCGCCTGGGAACTGCTCGGAAGAGTATGGGAATTTTAATGTCTAAATCTACTCGGGAGATCCAAAGTAGAATAGCAGTTAGTGCAATTATTGCTTAGTCGGTCTTTAATTTATTAATCAGCATCATTATTAATTAAAACCATCCACTCCATTTCATCTTTTTATCATAATTTTCCAATCGAATAAAGACCTCCATCTCCCAACTGATTTAAAACTTTGCCTGGTTTAATATTTTATCGAACCAGCCAATTTAAAAGTTGAATTTAACCTTTTTTCTTTGTTTTATCCGCAAATTGCTAAATTTGTGGTCCCGCTTTAAACCCGAACTTATTCGACTGGAATTAAAATCCATTAATTGAACAAAATATTGACGCAATATTGACGCTGTTGTTCGGGTGTTGTTTTTTAGGATGGAGACCAGCACGAGCTATACAATCAATTTATTTATAAATTTCGCTTAATTAATGCAAATATACATAAGAGCCAAAGCGAAGCCGGTCAAATAAAGTTTGCCAACTCCTCGAGCGGCAAAAATTTTGAAATATCCATAAAGCCAACGCCCTGGACAACCCGACCCGATTTACAATCCGACAACCTCCGAAAAGGACATTCCAAAAATTGTACCCAGAACTGGTCTAATTAAATTATTCGTTTGATGTGCCAGCACCTTCGTACAGCTAATTAAATATAAAAATTTGTTCAACATCTATACCATTTTTCACTTCATAATGTCATTCAACTTCGGAGTCGGAGTTATGCTAGTTGTTGCTAGTTTGCTTATATAATCACATGAAGTGCGTTAATTTGACATAATTAGTGGGCTCGAGTCGAAACGTCGGCGTCTGAGGTCTTCAAGTCGAAGAGTTTACCCCTTTGTCTGACTCTTGCCATTATAGTTTTTCAGTTTTTTTTATTCAGTTTTTAGGTCAATGGTCTTGGCTGGGGCTGGGGATGTTTGTTGCCGTGTTTGCTGCCATTTGATGGCTTGCCAATTTAACACCTGACAGCCCCGTTTGGGCCATGTGCACTGGACCACGCCGTGTGCCATAAGCGAGCCCAGATGGCAACGCCCCGCCGCCTCCACGATCCCATAGATACTCGAAGAAAAAATGGGTATGAGATCAGGGTTTGTATTTATCAGATTACACAATTTTAAACTCTTTTTCTTGCTGTGTAGACCCAGGTAGCCGGCCAGTCGGGTTGTCCCCAAAATGCGAGCCAACTATCCAACCGGTCAAGAGAGACACCCAGACACATGTCTGGCCATTTAGCAGAGTTATGCGATACATTTTTTCCTTCTTTTATTTTTTAGTGGCTCGGGGAGGAATTTTTTAAAAAGTTTTACTCTAGATTTGATTACAAAATAATGGCAAAA